ATTTGATAGGATGGTGGAAAACAACCCATGTCTTTACCCCTTGGAGTCAGACAAAAAATGATTCTCGATACGAAAACTGTAACATTTATCTAATTCTTCATAGCATTTACAAACTCACTGAATAGTTCTGAAGATAGTTCACGAGTATTCTGTTTGACATCACACATGTCATTTACAAAGTTCACAATCGGTCTGTTATATCTATCGGGAAATGACATATCACTTGCTATCATCATTGCTACACTAGAGTTCATGCTTGGTAGGTTGGAAACAAAGGCTTCCCATTCTGAGGACATAGACACATCCACCAGCTTGCCAAGATCTGCACACACATCTTGCATCATGTTTAAATCGATCACATTTTTAACATCGTCAAAGTAAAAAGTCCACAAATCATGATCACTGGTCATCAAACATATATGATCGCGCTGACTTGGCCAATTGTTTTCGCATCCTTCACACTCTTTTGTCAGCTTCTTCATCATTTCTCTCCGGCAGAGTTCGACATAAAAGAACTCAAGGACGTATCGAATCTTGGCTCTGGCAACCATCTCCACTTCATGACTGACAATCACAACCACGGCATTGTCGACACAAGAGATACTTTGAGCTATCGTACTGGACATCTTGATGTCGATATTCACCATCAACTTGTTGGTGGATATTCCAAAGTGGACAGCGATAAGAATCCCGCACCAAGCMWAAGATCAGAGGAATAATCGTAAACAGCATGAGCAGCCACCACATGAGAAATGATTGTTGTAGTCTAGTGCTGGGGTTCTTATATATTTCTAAACAATTGCTGATGTCATCGGAGAACGCCATTTAATATATGCCTACGATCTTGACGGTGCCTTTGACTTTCTTCTGTAAATCAGGACGTGAGGAGATTGGGTCGCTCCGCAACCATGATTCGAGTCCAATTTTTGTGGTATAGGATAATCTAAATGGTGACATGTTCGCCATGATTTTATCATTTACTACTTTAAGGATCACATTCTTTAGGGCCAAGTCAAAATTGACTTCTATCTTTTCATCTTCCGTTAGCATCAGACACTCGCTGTTACTAGTTTTATCTTTACAGCCACAACACTGATTTTCATCAATTTGGTGGAGCTGTTTACACACTTCAGATGCGTAAATCAAAATAAGTTGCTTTTCGGCAAATGTGAAGGGGTCCATGATTTCGAGCAAATGATCGAGAGCTTGAATGGATCACGCTCTTTATATCTAATACCGCTCATAATTTAGCGCGCACAGTGTTTTGGGGAGTGTGGAACTCTTTTCAATAGTTGATTAATGAAGAAACACTTTTGTTTGAGATTTCAAAGAATTTTATTACAATATATGACTATTAGAGTACACGGCATGATAATTAATAGTTTAAATGTTCAAAATTCTCAAATTCTCTGAATGTCATGCAATGGGTTGGGCATTTTTATCCGTACACTTTTTGTGGAGGAAAAATGCTTTGCGGATGTCTTTTTCGGGACTAGTGAAAGTTTCTCCAGTCTTGAGAATCCTGTATTGGTAGCTGGGGCTTGAAAAYATGGAAAAATTGCATGTCGCGAGAAGCAGTTTTCTCACAGTACGCCCACCATCGACTTCAGGGATATAGCAAATTCTTGATTTGGAGTTTTGGAAAAAATCATCCCAAGATATGATATTGGGGTGATTGGTGAACCAAGGGTTGMCGATTTGTGATGCCAWGTCACTAGCAAGCTCTTGGAGGTAGATTTTCTTGTCAGATACTGAAAAGGCATGGCTTTTGACTTGGTTTATTTCCTCCATCAGTTGAATCATTTTTTCACTGTCGTTATTATTGTAAAGTTCGTTGAGGTAGTTTCTCAGGACTGGTCTTAGSCACTCGGGATCTTCTGAACCATGTTCATACTTCATAAAAACATCAAAAGCTTCTAAAAATATTGGCAAGGGAAGTCTGAATTGCATACGACGCAGGGCTTCCTGGAAGGTCGTTAGCCAAAAGAACTTATCTGCTTTCCAGTTTATCAATTCGTAAAAGTTTGGCTTTCGTCCTTGGACTCTTTCTATGTCCGTCAACCTGACTTTGTTGCCAAGGTCTTCACAGCATTGATAGAATAAAAATCTGAAAAATGTCTTTAGGTCCCCCATAACCTTAGTTTCAACTCTCTGGTCTTTTTCATCAATGCTTAAGTTTCTCATTTGTTTCACGAGATTTGCTATTGCTTTTTGTCCTGTTCTGCGTTTGAACAGTACAGGTTTGAGAACACGACCACTTCTCAACTTCATGGTTTAGGTCTCTTGATCGGTAACTACGTGATATCGTAAGGGCAAGGAGGAGAGGAAGAATGATAAAGATTGCTCCTTTCAACATATAATTACTTGCGGTTCAGGCGCAATGCTAATAAATTGTAACGTCATACATTTCCAACTGTTCGAGCGGACCAATCAGAACCGAGTATAGTTCAGGCGCAATGCAAATGAGTTCAGGCGCAATCCTGACGTCATTTCCGACTTATCAAATGGACCAATCATGAGCGCGAACGGTTCAGGCGCATTTCAGGCGCATTTCAGGCGCAAAAACCGGGGTAATTATCGACCTATAACACTACTTCGGGTTGTTCAAAGCTGGATTAGCGCTAATCCAGGATTAATTCTATAGGTCTTATTAAGAGTTAACCCAGGATTAGCACTAATCGGGCTTTGAACAACTGGACCCAGGGCCCCAAACTTCCAAACTGCCTTGGAGACCTCGCATATGTAAAGCTGAACATTTTAGAACCCCCCTCCGCCTCAAATAATCTATCTTGAGTCAATGCCGGCCAAAACTAGTACAAACCTACATTCTTTCATTACTCGCACTTTCTCGAATAAACAATGACCGTCGCCTCAATGCTTTTAAATTAACTGCAGCTTCAGTCACTACAAATGCAATTCTATTTTTAAGGTAAATGTTTGACGTGCAAAGATGGTCGTGATGGCAAAAATGGAACACCAGGATCAAGAGGTAAATAACTTAAGTATAGATGATCAGTGAAAATAGAAAATATAAAAACGGACGGACGGACGGACGGACGGACGGACGGACGGACGGACGGACGGATAGGCAGTCAAGGAAATAGCTCATTTATCTTTGAGCTCAATTTGTTTTTATGCGCAAAGAAAGTTACAATTTTCGAGTCGAAGTTCCCACCTAGGGCAAGTCAGTGGAATTTACTAGAAAGAAGAAGCAAAGCGTCCTTAAGAAAACCTGAAGACTATTATGAAAACCAAAAGGAAAAACTAATACTAATGATAAATTAATGTTAATAGGTGCGGCTGGTGTAAGAGGCAGGCCGGGAAGAAATGGACAGCTAGGCCCAAGAGGACCCAGAGGTTATCGTGGACCAGGAGGAGTACAGTACGTACGATGGGGAAGAACCACGTGTCCTTGGGGTGCCTCTCTTGTCTACAAAGGTACGTTACTGACTTGCTTGGTGTTTACTGTTCATTTCCAAGAACTGAAATAAATTTAGTGCTGTTTCAAAGATTAAATCATGAGTAGCTTAGGTCCAGGAAAAGACTTTATACAGATTAACTAAAGGTAGATTAAATCTACCTTAGATTAATTAAGCCACGTGGTGCTTTTAAATGACTTTTCACACCAAACCGACACCTAAGATGGAATGACGTACCATGTTTACAGAAAATAATTGCATGTTGACAACAGTATTAACACGTACACACAATTTGATTGACATTACTTACGCAAAACTGAGTTGTCACTTTTCCTCTTGAAATTCATGGATTTTCAGGCCACCAAATAAGAAAAAAGCCGTTGCTATTAAGAGATTGATAMCAGTGACACAATAACTAATCAGTTTACATTTTTATTGAAAGGATGGACAGGTTTTTACATTTGGCTGGCCATGTTCTCACAGCCTTCGCGACACCTCAGTTTTGCGTCAAATCTACATCCATATTTTAGATCAGCTGGGTATATCATGAAAATGAAACAATGTTTGAAATGAGATTAAACAGATCAAAAATATTGAGTGATTTAATTATGATCATTTTAGGTCGTATCGGAGGCGAGCACGATAGTCATCCAGGCGGAGGTGCTAATTACGTGTGTCTCCCTGAGACCCCCAAATATGGAAGGTACAAGAATGGCTACCAGAACACTGCGTTCATGTATGGTACAGAATACGACCTATACTATTACAACCCATTCACAAGAAACCTTCACGATCATGACGCTCCATGTGCTGTGTGTTACGTTACAACACGAAGTGCCAAGATGATGATCCCTGCGACTTACGAGTGTCCCGCGAGATGGACACGAGAGTACCATGGATACCTCATGAGTGAACATCATACCCACCGTCATTCAACAAACTTCATTTGTGTTGATCAATATGCACAAGCTGTACCAGGAACCCATGCTGATCGAGGTGGTGCTCTACTGTATCCCGTGGAAGGTGTGTGTGGTTCTCTGCCTTGTCTTCCATATGTTGGGGGAAGAGAACTGACATGTGTAGTATGCACCAAGTAATTCTTGGTTTTCACCTACGTCATCATGAATTTCAAAAGCGTAAATTCGCATAATAATGAAATAAAAGTTTCATAATCTTGTAAAGCGGTCAAAATTACATATTCTGGCCACATTTCGAGGCTGTAAAGCATTTCGTTGCAGAACTAGAGGCGAGTAAACATGACGCAATTTTTGGTTAAAATGTATGGAGCGGCCATCTTGGTGTTCCAAGTTGGTACACCATCATGGCGGACGAAATTTCAAAGGCTTAAGATGATGGAATTTTTAATATTTTTGACTATATTTCACTTAAATATACCTTAAATAGATCTTTAAAACGTGTCTAAGGGMAAATCTTTTAACTAGAGTAAATTATTTTACTATTTTCATCGCTATTTAGGTAGACGTGACGGTATTGGGTGACACAAACTCAACCTTCATAACTCGAGAACCAAACATCGAAATGACTCAAGACTTTTTCTTGTGACTTATAACACTGATTTCTAAAAAATACTTGAGACATGTCTTTATACGATCTATAGTTTAGATTTTGATGTTTTGATGACGTCATGTGAAAACCGGCAATAGAAGTTACTTCAAGCTCAGTGTTCTTACCAGGCCGCGCCATTGCGGGAATCGCGCATAAAAAACAGTAATGGCGCACAAATTTCAACTCTATGCGCCCCCAAAGGCGCATGAATTATCCAAAGAATACTTTTGAAATAACAGAAGTCGCATTATATTGTCAATAAACAAGGGGAAAGTCCACATGAAACAACACGAATCGAACATAGCCACCATCTTTTTTCACTCGCCAAGAGGTCTGGGACTTGTTTACTGACCTTGTTTTTTGGAGGCTCAAGTATGGCTGCCCAGTGCAAGTTTATTGTATTATCATTACTAATAAAAAACTGTCTTACATTGTTGTAGATTTGCAACAGAGTTACTGACTAAAAACATCATTATTCTTTGTTTAAAATTTTGAAAATGGCCCATCCAGTTTTCTAAATGGCCCCTATAACCCCCTGAAAGAAATTTCTGGTCAGAACACTGCAAGCTCATCACGAAAAGAGAGCTTGAAAGAAAGACTATAAGGGATATGAATTAAGCGTTTTGATTACTTAATGATAAGTAGGACCTCTTCTAAAGAAACATTACATCATAAAAAAGTATAATTAGAAATAGAAATTGTAAATTGTAACAGGACAAATTGTAGTGATTGTGAATTAAAAACTCATGCTGCTAACCATAAGTTGGTGGGTTTGTTTTCTCTCGTGTCTCATAAGGGGATATTCAGTTCAATAACAGAATAATAATAATGATAATAATAATAATATAACTTTATTTAATGAGGGTGGCATACATTACTGGTAGCCCAGTAGYTTACATTATGGCCCTCTTACAGTTAAATTAAAATAGAAAACTTTTTAAATTAAATTAAATTATTATTAACTAATTAATATGTTTGCTGAATAGTGAAATGTTCTAAAGTAGCATTGCGTTTTAAGAATGTTTTCTGTAGATTCTGAAGAAACAGTTTGTGGGATACAATGCTTCTTATAGAAATATCAGTATTGTTCCATAGGCGGATGGCACTAGCATGAAACGTTTTACGTCCTGACATTTTCTTGAAAGAGGGCATAGTGATGTTATTATTTTTTTAAGCTCTAGTATTATAATTATATATATCTTTGAGGTAGCTTATATACGAGATGAAATAGTCTGGACAGTGACTTAAGCTAAGCTTATGCAGCATGTAGAGCTTTCTAATACAAATGATGTCGACAATGGGGAGACATCCCAATTTAGCGAACAGCTTAACGGAATTGTCAAAGAAATTGGCGTTAAGTATTAATGTGGCACATCTTTTCTGGATTCTTAATAGTCTTTTAGCAATTGCACCAAGCAGTACGACATTCTAGGATAGGCTTTATAATAGCATCGTATAACAATTTTCTACAGTGAACAGTTAAGTAATCTTTGGAACTTTTTAAAAGGCGGATTCTCGAATTTAATTTACTAATTAAATAGTCAATGTGYTTGTCCCACTTTAAATGTCTATCTATTTTAACCCCAAGAAGCTTTTCATCGGTGGCCTCATCTAGCTTGGTATTGTTCAGGAAAAGTTCCATATCCTTCTTGTCTGTATGGCAAAGTTTTTGCACTGTTCCAATGAGTAACTGTTTGGTTTTCTTTGGTGTTTGGCAACATACCATTGAGCGAGAGCCAACTTTGAGCTTTGTTGAGGGTGTCCTGTAACGTTTGTTGGATTTCTTCACGGTTGTTGTCACATGACGAAATGGTGGTGTCATCTGCATAGATATCAACTTCAGATTAATCAAGTGATAATGGTAGGTCATTGATGTACATGGAGAAGAGTATAGGTCCTAATATAGATCCTTGTGGGACCCCAGGCTTGAGTGTTGAAGAGCATGAAAGCGAGCCTGATATGGAGCACTGTTGTGAGCGGTCCGTTAAATATGAGGTAAAACACTTTAATGCGTGTGGGCTGATGTGGTATTTGGCGAGTTTGGATAAGAGTATATTGTGATTCACAAGGTCGAAAGCCTTGCTTAGGTCCAGAAAAACAAGTCCAACCAGTTTACTATCGTCCATAGCTTTGAGCCATTTATCAGTAATGTTGAGAAAGTAACTACACAGTAATTGTCATTTGGTTTGAATAGTAAACAGGATAGACAACAGAAATTCTTCAATAGAAGAGACAGAAATCACTAAGATAAAGAGTTGAGTGATGTTTTTTTCCCTAGTCAACAAATCTGCATCAGAGAAACTTTAAATAGCATGTGTGAAATATAGTACGAAAAATTGCTATCTCGTAACATGGCACGCAGTTATACAATTTTCAACGATATTTCTCAAATACTTGTCTTGTCCGAAAAGAATACATAAAATGGAAAGCGGAAAGTGGAATGGAAATTTGTAGTGCGATGGGGGGGCACTGAGAACCATGGATTGTAGAATATGATTGCGACTTTTTCGTGTAAACAATCTTCTTGAGCTGTCAAACTTCCCTAATAAGGCGATAACCATAGCAATATTGGGATCCAGGAAGAGATGGTCGTGATGGAATGCCTGGACCACCAGGTAAGAAGGAATGAACCATCTGTTCTCAATGAAATGTTATGCACACAGCAAATCTCTATTCAAAGTACATTTTTCTTATTTTTCTCCATTGCATTACCCTTTCTTGTTATTACTATGGTTTATCACAAATGACCATTCTTCAACTTCTCCTCCTCCACCATCTCCTCCACTACTACCTCTTTCTAACCCACCTTAACGCACACTCTACATCCTCCTCCTCCAACATCTCCTCCACCATTACCTCTTTCTAACCCACCTTAACGCTCACTCTACATCCTCCAACAACGTCAGGTATACCAGGACCGCAAGGACCACCTGGTCAAGGAGGGGTGGTGTACATACGATGGGGAAGGACAACATGCCCTTCGGATACTACAGTAGTTTATCAAGATAGGCGTTCAAATTATGCCTTTATCTCTCACTCATTGCCTCCCTTCGTTTCTAGCTAACTTACTCATCCCAGTACCATCTATCCCCTGCACACTCACTCTCTAATGGTAGTGACATCGGTAAGACACTTTAATATTTTTTATTTGTTTCAGATCGTACTGGTGGCCAGTACTACACGTCCACGGGAGGAGATTCTAATTACGTGTGTCTCACTTTAAGTCCCAAATTTGGAAAGTACMAAGATGGTCTTMAKAATAACGGATACATTTACGGAGTCGGAATATGAGATTGCATTCTTCGACCCTCTCAGCAACAAACCTTCAACATCGCGCTGCTCCGTGTGTAGTCTGCCACGTCCAGACCCGAAGCACCAAGCTGATGGTCCCTGGAACTTACGCGTGTCCCGCGGGATGAAGAGAGAATACTGGGGATACCTGATGAGTGAAAAGCATAACCACAAACATACCACAGAATACATCTGTGTAGATAAAGATGCCGAATACGTCCCAGTAAGCGGTGCTGCTAATCATGGTGTCCTGTTGTACCCAGTTGAAGGACGCTGTGGTTCTTTGCCTTATGGTCCATACGTAGAGGCTCGTGAACTTACATGCGCAGTGTGTACCAAATGAGCAACAAAACGGTAAATAATGAAACGAACTACTGCCCAACGAAAAGTGATCCTGGACAACACAACACGATTACTTCTAGTTCTCAAACTATGCTAGATTAAGATGAATTTGCTTCTGATAATAAAACATAAATGAATAGATTTAAGAGTAAACTTAGATGAATAATAACTGGATGAATGAAAGTCCAAGTATAATAAACAAGGACGGATCCAGGGGGAAGGGGGAGGGGGCTGAATACCCCCTTCAGCAGAAAAAAACAAAACAAAACAAAACTGAACAATTAGATGCTCTTTTTATTGGTTTTTTTGTTGTTGTTGTGTTGACGGAAGAAACTCAATTAGCCCCCCTAAACTCAATTAGCATCCCCCTAAAATTTTGGCTGAATCCGCCCTTGATAAAATCCAAAAATAAAGAAAATCTAAAATCCAAAATCCAAAAATAGAAAGCAAATAAAATAGATGATGAGCATAACCCTTTTGTGAACATATTCATTCATTGGTCTTCATATCTCAATAGACATACAACACAGCTGGAAATAAGGTCAACACCTCCAGGGTAGGTGCAGAAAAACAACTGTGAATTGACTTTCATTACGAAATGAAATTTTAACCCAACAGTTTGTTATGCACTGATAAAGATATATTCCACGAAAAAAATTATTACATTCGTCTTTATGTCTCAAAAGTAGGACGTGAGGTCATTACCTCCCGTTTACTATTGCATCAAAAGAGAAAAAGACAAGTTTTCAATGTCTTTTCGTTCCCTTGCTTCAAGCTGCTTCAGGTTGCATTAATTTACATTTGAATGACAAAGAAAAACCTAGAGAAAGACGAACATTGGCTAAAGATAGATGTTCAAAGCCAGTTCTTGTTCTATCAGGAAAAATCCTGTATGACATTATAATCATGATGCTGAAGAGGTCTAACRACAAGAGGAAGATATCAAAGAGGCACTGCTTCTCCCACAAACAAGACAGTTGTCGAGTTAAGTTCTGCTTACCTTGATTAAGATGAGTCAGGTTCCTCAAGCATCGTGTAAGGCTGTGTTGTTGGTGTTAGCTGTTCTTCTTGTAGCAGGTCGTGCTGCGGAGACAAGTGAGATACAAGACGAAGGTCAGATGGAGAAAAGAGTTCGAGGACAGAATCAAACGGACATGATGACACTGTTGAAGACTTTGCAAGCAAGGTATTGTGTATAAATAAATGTTTTCTTTTTAGCTTCCTTACTGATAATATAACTTATAACATCTTCCCACGACGGCGCTTTACAGATAAATTATTTCTCTTTTTGCTTAGGAGTTAGGGACTTTTTTGTCATTTTCCTTATTGATAACGTCCACTCATAATCAAGTGTTTCAATTTTTTATCGTGCGATTCTTTTAGTCTCCAACATTTTATAACTTCTCCCTACGAAGTACGTTACACACGTGTTTAAAATGCTAAACTGAACGAGTCTCCATCAAGGTATAGTTAATTTTGATCTTTTTTGAACTCTTTTTGTCAAGGAGTTAGGGTTTTTTTTATTGAGCGACCTTTTTGTCATGGTACCTTTGTGTGAATGATAAAATGAAATATCAAACTCATGGACTTTTAAATCAAACAAGTGAATAAGAAGGAAAGTAAGGCTGCGTTCATAATGTATGG